CTTATTGAGTCAGGAAAACAAGCAGGACAAGGGGCCTTGTTGATGGGGGGCCTCAGGGACTGGGGTGGGGGTTGGAATGATGGTGCTCAACGGCAATCAATGGAACCATACGCACACACACACACACACACACACACACACAGATTGTTACTCGTACAAACTGGTCAAAGGTTTGGTGTTGTTCAATACCTGACAATGACTGCTTAAGATGGGCTATTCTGAATCAATGCCCTATAACTGACCCACCACTGACTGATACAGCTCCACCGTTTAACGTTAACGTTGAATGCAAACTCTCATTTCCCCTTATGGTTCAAGTATTTACATTGTGACATTTCATTTCTGTGCTGCGTACAGATTATTTATTAAGTCAATTTCTTTCATTTCACTGTACGGACACTTTAAGCAGAGACACTTACACGCAAATAACACAGCAGAGTCCCAGTTGTGCTCAGAAAAAAATATTTTGAAGCCATTTACTTAACAACCCATGTCGCTGATTCGGTTATTTTCTTTGAAAATGACAACAAAAACCAAAAGCAAGAGGCAAACTTAAGTTGTCTTATTCCATGCATGTAGGAAATTCACATGCCTGAAATGGATCTAATTCTGAACAAGACCATTTTTGTTTGAACAAAAGTTGATTAAAATTCAACAAATAGTCAAACTTCCTCCCACTGGCAGCACGTTTGCCTGCAACATTACAAATGTTCCAGACCCAAAGCCACACAAAATGCAATGAAGTGTGCACGTCTGGACCTTCTCAGTGGAAAGAACGTTTAAAAGTACAGGTACAAGTTCAGTTCTGGCTCTGCAGTTAAGTGTAGGAATGTGATTCCTTAAATAAAATCATGACTTCTGGGATTTCCTTTTTCAAATTGTACACCTTTACCGGGAAATGCCATCCTGGTAGTTATTGCTCCAAAGAAACGGATAAAATGCAAAGTAATGTTTTTCTGTCCCTCTTTCCAAGTGTGGGTGTTAAAGGATTGAGTTACTTAAAGAGTGCTTTTTTTTCAAACAATGCAGTGGTTTTCAAATCTGAACTGAATCAGAGCAGAGGCTGTGATCATGAGAGGGCACATAGTCTTAATTAGCTGGTATTAGCAGGTCGAACCCTGAAACCGACCCCGAGAGCCTTGTTTGGGTTGTTTTGGTGGTCTCTTTATTTTATTTTAATATCAGCACACATAACTTAGGGTTAGGGTTAGGGTTAGGGTTGGCTTAATGGTCTATGCTCCGGACCCCATCGACTCACAGTTTCTGTTTGTGTAATGACTAAAAACTGCTGGTGATGATGGACTGACAGTCAGGTCAAGACTCCCAAAAACAACAAATGTCAAAGACGAATGCTCGTTCATTTCCACTGTAGATGCGCTCTTCATCCCTCCATCGTTTGCCCCTGCACTCAGCAGGTTTTGGAGCAACAACCCGGGCTGGAACACACATTCTGAAGGCTGCCTCCTTCTCCAGCTGCACCCCTCTGCACACGCCAGTCTTCCCAGTTCATGGTACAACTACACCACAGCCAGGCTTAGCAGCCTTGCATAGGGATTTCCCAGACTACTACCTAACGCCCTGCATCCACACGGAGCTGCTGCGGCTGAGGCCCCCTTCTGCTGCAGCTAAGTGAGTCCTGAGTGAGACTGATGGGGGTCAAGACCCCGTCCACACTCACACTCATGTAGACATTCAGGATAGTATTAAGCATTTCAAATGTACAGGGACCCCCCCACCACCACCAAAGCCTCCACCCTGAGGCGATGCAGCCTCAGGCCTGCAGCTGCGCCCCTTCATGCTGCTCCTGCTGTGCGCTCGTATGTTTGTGAACACGTGTGTGTTTGTGTATCTACCCTCAGCACGTGTGTGTGGAGCTCTACTGGCCCCACACAGGAGACACAAAGCCTGAAGGTCCTGTTGCGTTTTGGGAAGTCAGGACTGTCCTCTGCAGCCCCACAGAGGCAGGGAGAGAGGACACAGCTCCTTCATGGACAGAGGGAGACCTGTTCCCAGCAGCAGACGTAGAGTCCACCTCTGCAGCTCAGTCCGGGGGCTGGAACCTCTGGACTGCTCCGCTCCCCCCTGAGAGCGGACTGCAGCCACTGACCACATGCAAAGCTCCATAAAGAGAAGGTCTCTGGGTTATCAGAGCCTGAGGCACACCAAATAACAGAAGACATGGATGGCGTCCAACCTCACAGCATGCAAACACTAGTATGGAAAAAAACATCCTAAGTTCAGTAAACTGCTGGCAGCTCACTGCCACGATTCATTAATAACAGTCTCCAACTTTAAAGATTTTGGCCCTGGAATTCACTTTGGGGTTACTGCACAGACATTTCATGGGACTGGACCACTGCAGGCTGTTTAAAAATGTAAATAAACATTTCTTGTTTTTCAGAGAACCAAAGGTAAATCTGACCCTGCCTCTCTGTGAATAGAGCAGCAGTTTCCAGAGCTCCTCAGTGCAGCTGCCTACAGACACACACAGGACAGGCAGACGCACTTAGTGATGCAATGATGTCTATTTATGTATCTACACCATTTATTTATTCAGTTGCTCTAACATTTAATCATTGGTGATATTTCAATTCAAGAAAGTCGACATCTGGACCTTCCCTCACTGGGGAATGAATAAAGTATTTTTCTCCTCTATTCAAAAACATATACAGTGGAACTGTCCCTTACAAAATGACAACAAGAGTAATCTTTTTATATTTTCCTCCCTTTTCCCAGCATCATGGCAATCAGAATCATTCATATTTGTTTTTGCTTCCATTTGTTCTTCCAAGGGAGGTCTTCAGCCTGTGAGGCCTCCTTGATGCCCAGCCTATGATGGCTTATTTATTGCTGTTAAGGTGTTATGTGTAGTCTTATGCTCAACATGACAAGGGGGAGAAAGGGGAGGGAGAGAAAAAAAGAAAGAGAGAGGACACAAACAAAGTTACACTACCTGAAAACCAGGTAAAAACACCTGCGAAGGGACTCAGCGAATAGGGAAGAAACACAGACAGCAGGGCCAGAACAAACCCGGTGTGATGGGGATGGAGCCCCAGCACCAGCCGTCTTCTGGGGGTTCTTCTGCTGGAACAGCAGCTTTTT